TATATATATATATATATATATATATATATATATATATATATATATATATATTATTGTAGGCATAGACATCAACACTTCTAGCTAATTAGATGTTTCACTCCGGAGGTGATCATCAGATCATATATCAGAACTACTTTTACGAGCTATGTATATTGGCCACTGAGGGATTAATGAAGGCGAGAAGAATATATGGAGAGGACTTAAAATGAGCAGAGATTACATATGGTATTTCGTAATTCCATATGGTAAATTCAGATTGCTTGAAAGAGTGTAACTGACATTCCTATATCCTCATTGTATTTATAAACGTTCTAATTTCGATATCGAGCCCTTCACTCCTATAAATAAAGTAATTTTATTACACACACACACACACACACACACACACACACACACACACATATATATATATATATATATATATATATATATATATAATATTACGTTTGTGCATAGCACTTTTCATGGGGATACAGAACGTACTATACTTTTATTCTCGCATTTATTCGCCTCCTTACGAGTGTAAATTCTGCCGTCATATTAGTGATGACTTACCTGCATATATAGGAAAGGACAAAAAAATATGCAATCCCCATGAATAGTGCCACACTGGTGAAGGAGTTGCTGGGCGCAAATTTGAAATTTCTTGGATTGGTCTCGCCTTATGTCAGGCTTTGAATTACTCGAAAATGATCTCAGGGAAGAACAGAGCACACTTATCCAAAGAGGAAGAGCGGGAAAGAAGTGACTCGAGGTCGTTTTTAATGGAGGATGCCTTGCGGACAAGGCGATAAATTAAACACTCGCCGCGATCACGGTCACGCTGGTAACAGTATTTCACCAATCCTTCCTCTTTTAGCGAAGTAAGGAAGGTAATACCGTAAGGTTGGAATTCCTCGGAACAGGCCTTCATTGGCTAAAAAGGGGGAACTAATACCACCCGTTGATTCAAACCAAATGGTCGACGGTCTCATTTTGATGCGTGGTAAGTAACTACAATTTAACTATTAGACTTTATGTCTCCCTATGCGGCCGAAGATTTTTATTTTATTAGTGCAACACAAATAGTGGTGGTTTCATATATCAGTAGATGAAGTCACGGCTTCAATGAGAACCTCGATCTCTGGAGATTAAAGTGATACTTCATTTGATTATACTACAATCGACTTTTGGATTGTAGCAACATAATGTAACAAAGGAAATATCAGGCTAACGTCGTAACATCTATCGATAAAAGCAGCTACTGATTAACTGTGAAATATAATGTTAATAAAAGCCTCCGAAGTTATTTTCCTTGACCATCTGCGATTACATTGCAAATGGATGTCATAGCGAAAGAAATATGTCAGAAATTAAAAAGTTAAACGAAATGACCTGGCGAAGTATATCTTTTCTCTCCATTGAATAAAGATTTTTCTTATTTTACTTTTATGATAATCCTTATTTTTAATAATCCTTATCTTCTTTCATGATATTCTTTATGTATAATAAGTTGCTTCTGCATGAATTTCGGGTATAAGGAATTATCATTATTTACACTATTTACATGCAGACTATTATCCTCATCTTTGTTGTTATCACAACATTTTGACCGTTGACCCCCCCCCCAGCCTTCATCACTTTTATGTCGTTCCGGGTAACCTACAGGGAATTCCGAACTGAACCCTCTATTTAATCTACAGGACCAGACTGTTCTCGTTTCTCTGTCCATGTCTAGGGGAGATAACTCATCTTGTACTTATTTTTAGTACTGGTCAGTTATTACTCGCCATGTGTCCATTGAGTCCAAGTACACACTGCCCAGCCCGGGGATTGAACTCACAATCACTATATCAACAAATTCATGAAACAAGGCTTTAATCTACTAGTTTGTGAATTAAATAAAGGGTTCAGTTCTGATTTCCCGATAGTTTACACGGATCAATCTACACCTGATGAAGAACAGAAGCTACATCGACCTAAATGCTCTGATATTTCATTATTAATACTTAGTTTTATTACTAGTTTTATTCCATCTTATTACTGGAGATATTGTGATAATGGATTTTCACAATTTATAAATTATTACTAATTTTATCATATATTATTATTAGCACATTATTATTATTTGATCAGATCTTTTGATCACATATGTTTGTCGCATATTATTATCACATTATTATTGTTTTATCGCATATTTTTATCACATCATCATTATTTTATCATATATTTTTATCACATATTATTATTTTATGATTATTCATCATTTTTATTACATATTATTATATTAGAATTTTATCAAATATTATTATCACATTATTATTTTATTATTTTATCACATTATTTTATTACATTATTTTATTATTATCACATTATTAATTTTTATCAAATTTATTATTTTAGCATATTATCACATTATTATTTTGTACATATTTTTATTACATTATTATTATTTTATAACATTATTATTATCATTATTATTATCTTATCACATATTATTATCACATTATTAATATTTTGTTACATATTATTATCAAATTATTACTATTTTATCACATACTATGACATTATTATTTTATCACATATCACTTTATTATCATATCACGTATTTTTTATCACATATTATTATCACATTATTATTATTTTATCACATTTTCTTAAAGTATGGACTGCTAGAGAAAATAATGTGAAATCATAAATAATTAATTAAAAACAACGTTTACTCCACATTAAGATGAGATATTATTCTCAATTTAATTCGATGAGTCTTCTCTTCCAGGCGGGCTCAAGTCTCGTTGGAAGAGAGCGTGTAATGATTTTCCCGCAGTTGGTTGCCATTTCTTTC